AACTCGACCATTATCGATTGTGCGACGGCACAAGTACACATTTCCATAAACGCTGAGAACGTCGTAGAGCTGACTTGCACAGGTGAACTGAAACCGGAGTTGCTAAGCAGCTTACCGCGACTGGATCCACTACGTGAAACCAAGTATATCGCCATATACAACTGCTTGCCTTTCGCCGATTTGTTGGACCAGTTGTCACTCATGTCCAGGCAAACATTGCAAGTAAATGGTCTAGCGGGGATAGCGCAGATAACACTTGATACCTTTGGCCGCGTCAATCAATGTTTGCGGAAGATTACAATGCTGGAATTGCACGCAGACTCCCAGCGATCAGCACGACGCGATATGCCACACGTAGCCCAAGAGCTTTCTTCGGATATACTAAGTCCAATGCCGGCACTGTTTCGCCTTTTTATGGACTTGAACTTTACGCGTTTGCCAGCTGATCTACTCAAGCCAGTGCCGTACATAAACGATATCACACTGCAGGGTCGATTGGAGGNTACTGCGCAATCGTCTACGCGAGGATGACTTTAACGGTTTGACAACAGTTCGAGGACTTTATTTGACCAATTGTAGCATTCAGGAGTTGCCGGCGCGTATCTTTACACCTTTGAAGCTCTTACAGCGGCTCAATTTGATGAACAACCAGCTGTACGAACTGCCGACCACACTATTGGCGCAGCAACAGCGCTTGCAAGTGTTAAATTTGAGCGGAAATCTGTTGGAAGCATTGCCGTTGGGCCTTTTTGCAGCGACTACCAAACTTTTTAAGCTGATTTTGAGTCGCAATCGGTTGCAGCACTTGGACGCCAAAATACTGCCACCTCTGACCGCAATCATCGACCTGTCGGTAGACAGCAATCACCTGCGCACAATCGAGACGGGCACTTTTGCGCAACCGAATCGCTTGCAAGGGCTCGACTTGCGAAATAACCAACTCGACTGGATGGCTGGTGAGGACTGCGCCATCTTTGATGGGCTGCATCGCCTGGAACGCCTGCTGCTGAGCAACAATTCACTGCGTTACCTATGCGATCAGCTGGCCTCCAGCAATCATTCAACCAGCGCGCTATCGGTGCTCGACGTGCGTCAA